GCATTTGTCGAGTCCTATGCAAAGCGAGCACTGTGGTGCTCGCCAGCGTAGGGGGTTCCGGGGGCATGCCTCCTCACCCCCCCCGCAAATTTTTTATGAAAAAATGGTGCAAATTTGGTGGCACATATAATGCACAGTTTATTGGAAGAAAACATTGATTTTTCGTAGCGAGGCGGTGTTTTGGACAAATTTCTGTGCTGGCGGCGTGAGAATTTGAGCGAGGCGGCGCACCTTCGCTCGTGTCGCAATGCGAGAGAAATACTGGCATCAGGGGTTAATAATGACATTTATTCATTATTTCGTCATTATTGACCCTGATATACATGGCGTAGGTGCTTGTCGCATTGAAAAGCTTGTAGCCTTGACATATACTAGTGACAGTAAGTGGCATAGCCCCAGCACAAACACTGCAGGGGCGTGGTAAGGGGGGGGGGGGTCCAGGGGGTCGGACCCCCCCTGCTCGGTGGCAGAAAACGCATCTGAGAGGGTCTAATTTCAAAAGTATTGTATGGGGGAGGGCCCCAGACCCCCCCTTCACGTGCTCGCAAGTTTGGGTTACTGTTAGATCCCCCCCCCCTGGTCCAATCCTGTACCGCCCTTGCAATGTGTCACCGCGCCGCGGTCCATTTAGGGAGCCTCGCCCAGCTGTATCTGAATAAATCTGCCACTGATTTCGCAACTGATAGAGGTTAACACTATATATAAACTGGGTATGTTTACATAATATAAGTAGTGCAGACAGGCTACACACCTATAATACATATATGCATTATATAATATATATATATTTATAGTATACTATATATATTCATATAATATATATATATATAATATTATCGATGATTACCTATGCTACACCCAGTGTTGAAATCTATATCAACAATCCATGCAGTAGTGACCAACCCAGATTGTAGTTTTACCATTGGCATACAGCACTGATTTGTTGTAGAAATAATGCAATGGGTGAACATGTCTTTAACTTAGAATGACAGCATCATGATCCGTAAGTGTATAACCAGTTGAGAACTGTCATCCTCACTTTCCTACATGGATCAGAGACACAGAATAAAGTATCTATGTACATATAGCTCCAAGAGACGGTCACATCCCACATAGCGCATTGTGCACGGTTCGTCCCTGCACTGAGTTAAGGATATTTCAAGCTATAGTTCAAGGCCAAGCTCTTTTTTTGTTTGCCCTATTTTTTGTCCCACGTGCACTTGGAAAGTTTTAATAATAAAATGATGGTAATTAAATAAACATGAAATGTACTTACTACAAAAATCTCAATGTTTATGTATTTTCTATCAACTAATAATTCCACGTAAATGTCGTTCAAATTCTCTTTTGCAACACGCAATCTCGCCACACGCATGCCAATGCGCACAAATAACAGAAATATAAAGTTCTCTAAAACTTCTCGCGAAATTAAGACAGTAAGGAATATTATTATTAATAACCTGGTAGTAAATACAATTCCTGTTTATCAGTGTTGTAGTCGAGTCCGCACCCCCTCGGATTGCCCGAGTCCGAGTCGAGTCGCACCGCCCGAGTCCGAGTCGATCCGAAGTCCGCGCCACCGCGAGTGCCGAGCTGCCCCACCACGCCAGTCCGGTCCGAGTCGCAGTTTTGATAAAAAGAAGGGGGCAACAGACCGGAACAAGGCCACTCACTTCTATCTGTGTGGTTTGTTCAAGAAATGGGGGGTGTTTCCTGTCCCCTGGATCTGTCACTTAATTTGTTTGCATAAAATCAGGAGTAGATAATAGGGAATTCCCTATTATCTACTCCTGATAAAATAGAAAGTACCATAAAACTTGCATAAGTCGACACTTCTGGGACCAGCATATTTGGTGTCACTAGGAAAATAACGACTTACGCGTAAGTCTCATTTTGTCGTTTTCATAGA